GGCCCTCAACAATATTTACCGCTGCCTCGGATGGGTTCAACTGGCCGCTGTGCTTTGGGGTCAGCTCTGGCGCGTTTTGCCCGCCAGCTCGTTGACCAATCCGTCCAAGATGGCCTTGGTCGCCTGCTCCGCGTCGGCCCTGGCCCTGCACTTGCCGGCCTCGAGCCGCCGCGCGAAAGACATGGCGCCTGCAACCGCGCATGTTGAGGCCGCCTTCGAGGGGCGCGGGATGACCTTCACCGCTCCGGCGTCCGAGCTGAAGCCCGCTAGCATCGTCGCGCACGCGTCCTCCACCCTCCAAGGCCCCCCTCCTCGTCGGCCATCTTGCAGAAGCCGAAGTCGTAGCTGATGAGCGGGGCCTTCTGCTCGGCGCCCTCCAGCCTGACCAGCGAGCGCGGGGCGCCAGGAGCCCCGCCCCTGGCGCGCTCCTCGCACCGCGGCGCAGCTGGCAGATGCGCGAGGCGATGCTGCCTCGCCTCCTCAGCGCTCGGGGCCTTCGGCGCCGGCAGCTGCCTCGCCTCGACGGGGCCATGCTGGGTCCCGAGCTGATCCTTGACTGCCTGCTTGTGCGCCGTCTCTGCTGCTGCGCGTCGGTGAGCAGCCTCTGCCGCGACGAGCCTCTTCCGCAGCTCTGCCTGGCCCCGTGGATGGGCACGAATAGCTCTCGCAGTCGAGTCCTGGGCGCGCCGACCGAGCTGCCCGCGTCGAGGACTGGGGTGCAGCCTCTGACTCACCGCGTTCTTTCGGTCGCTCAGTGCGTCACTCAGCACAAGGTCGCGCCTCAACGCCGTCTCCGTCATGAAATCCCCGAAGCCGAGCAGCGCCGTGTATACCTCGAAGCGGAGGCCCTAGTCTCCCCATCTCTCGTCCGTGCCGTCGAACCGCCGCAACCGCATGTCGGTCCGCACATCGACCACATCGATCGCCGCCATCGCCGCCTGCGGAAGGGCTGCGGGAGGACGCGGAAGGGTGGCGCTCGAACTCAACTCCCGTGGGCTTGGGAACCGAGCTCCGCTACAATGTAGCGATATCGACCGATCTGCTAATCACTATCGAAGTCAAAAGGACCTGCTCATGTTACTGCTTCCGTCCCGTGCCATGCTTTATCCTGCAACGGGGGGCCTTCCACCCCAGCACACATAATCTACAACAGTTTCTGTCGGGGTTCTTCTTGTCTGGGCGATGTTGTCCCCCCACCCTCACTTCAGCACCTTGGCACCCCGCACGTAGGACGCCCCTCACGCAGCACATGCCAGCCATAATTCCGACCATACAAATAGAGCATTTGACACCAGATCCCAATGCCACGAGCAGCCACGAGTAGGTGGGTCGTCTTATGTGCTGCAGTACCCTGATGCTTCTTCACTGTTGCGGCTCCCGAGTGGTCGCAATCAGTGCGGAAAATGTTATGGAATCTGCTGGCGAGGCTGCTGTTTGGGGAGCCGGATGCAACGCCCAAATTGAGTATGTCATGGGAGAGATCCCCGCGTGACAGTTTCAGCACATGAAACGTTTTTGCTGGTGGGAGGCGGGACGATCCTGGCCTACACGTATATACTACAAATCGCACTGGTGTTGGGGACCGGTTTGGGACTCAGATCGGCCGAACCATAAAGTGCAGAACGCGCTGCACGCCTTGACCCTCAGTTCCTCTCACAGCCGACGGGCGCGTAAGCCACTGCATCCTTCAATCGGGGCCACGGTACCCCTGCGGGTATGACTCGTCGGCAGCAGGCCGTGGCCAAACCGTACTACACATACGGCGAGTGATATATGGCCCATGGCCGATTCAGAACACCCTGTACCCAAACATGTTGTCATCTCTTGGGGGCACATCTGTTGCTTCCGTCGCCATCCGCCAGCCTCCCGCCGCCTTCCGCCGGCGGAGGCGGCATCGTTTTGCTGCCGCCGCCTTCCGCCGCAGAAGAGAGGACAACTCCTTCTTCGGTCCTCGAAGGTGAAACGGAGGAGGAGGAGGAGGCGGAGGAGGAGGGGGAGGAGGAGGGGGAGGGGGAGGGGGAGGGGGGAGGAGTAGGAGGAGGAGGAGGAGGAGGAGGTAGGAGGAGGAGGAGGAGGAGGAGAGGAGGAGGAGGAGGAGGAGGAGGAGGAGGAGGAGGAGGAGGAGGAGGAGGAGGAGGAGCAGGAGGAGGAGGAGGACGAGAGCAGTAGGAGGAGGAGGAGGAGGAGGAGGAGGAAAAGGAGGAGGAGGAGGAGGAGGAGGAGGAGGGAGGGGGAAAAGAGGAGGAGGAGGAGGAGGAGGGGGGAGGAGGAGGAGGAGGAGGAAGAGGATGCGGAGGAGGAGGAGGAGGAGGAGGAGGGGCGCCAGAAGTTCATGATCATGGCGTTTTTTCTTCGCATGGCGGCGCCCCCCTTTACCTGAACGCCCCACATGGCGCGGCGCGGACTCTAGGCACCACTCCTAACACGCCTCCGCCGCGCAACAATTCAACGCACGGCCGGCGGCAGCACGGGGCACACGGGATGTATGCGGCGAGGAGGAGGGGGAGGAGGAGGAAAGGGGGGAGGAGGGGGAGGAGGAGGAGGAGGAGGAGGAGGAGGAGGGAGGAGGAGGAGGAGGAGGAGGAGGAGGAGCAGGAGGAGGAGGAGGAGGAGGAGGACGACGACGACGACGAGGAGGAGGGGGAGGAGGAGGAGGAGGAGGAGGAGGAGAAGGAGGAGGAGGAGGAGGAGGAGGAGGAGACGCGGAGCACGACGGCGCACACGGCGCACGCGAGCACGCTGCCCGGTAGCGGCGGTGGGACTGGCCGACTGCCGTTGGACACGGCGCGCGCCGAGATCGCCTCAAAAGGGAACACCTTCCCGTTGATCCCTGCCCCGTCATTCGCTGCACCCTGGCACGGGACTGACCTCCGCGTCCCGACGCCGTTCCTCCTTTCCCTCCTTGTCCTCCTCGTCGTCCTTGCCGCTTCACCCCCCCACGACGCGCACAACGGAACAGCCCCCAGAAGCAAAGTGTCCTGGGAATATTGGGTGGCGCTGGAAGTCACGACAAAAAACACCACCGACTGCGTCATGCGGGATATCTGACGGCTCTCGTCACCGTCCACCTCCCCCCGTCGCCTCTTCTTCGTCTTCCTCAGCTTTCCCCCCCCCCCTCGCACAAGATGCGCTGGCTCTTGCAAGGTAAGCACCAGAAGTGTGGGCACACGATCCCGATCGAGACTCGCAACCAATCGCAAGTGCTCTGTGCGGAGCACTGTGCCCTACTCCCGCGGCCCCCACGAGGCCGTGTACGGTCTGCAGCGCGCAGCCCAATTTGACGACTGTGTTCCTGATGGCCTGCTGACATCAGTGCACCACCAGCTCACCAACAGAACCACGATAAATGGATGATTATCGTCCCGTTCCCCCATCTGTCTCCTCTGTCCTCATCATACTAAAGTAGTGCTCCAGGCCGCTCTCACTGTCCTCCTCCTCCTCCTCCTCCTCCTCCTCCACTTCCTCGCCCTGCACCGCTCTTACGAGGAAAAGTCTGAAGGCCTCGCGTGGCACCTCGAGACACGCATTATGTCAGTTCCACGTCAGATGCACGTCGGACTTACGTCGGGTTCACTCGGAATGTACGTCGGGACGCCGCCGCGCGAACGCCTTCCCGCATCTTCTGGGGCGGACATGCGGACTAGATCCTACATCTGTTGCGCGCCGAACGAGGCCTTTCGAATTCGACAAAAAGGCCGTTCCCTCCCATCCTTATACCTATCCGTTTCCTCCTCCTTCTCCCCCTCCTCCTCCTCCTCCTCGTCATCATCATCATCATCATCATCATCATCATCAGCATCATCAGCATCATCACCAACACCACCATCAACACCATCAGCACCATCACCACTACCATCACCATCAGCATCAATCCTAGCATTCTCACCATCATCATCCTCATCATCACCATCATCATCAGCATGTGCTTCACCGTCGTCACATCATAACCATCATCATCATCAGCATCATCAGCATCAACAGCATCGTTATCATCATCATCATCATCATCACCACCATTATCATCATCATCACCATCATCAGCATCAGCATCAGCATCAGCATCATCATCATCATCATCATCATCATCATCGTCATCATCATCATCATCAACAACATCAGCATCACCATCATCACCACCAACACCGTCATCACCATCAACATCATCAGAACCCCCACTCATTTTCCGCCATCCGCTCCCTCTCCCTGCCCGTCATCCTCATCGGCCTCCTTCTCCTCGCCGTCGTCGTCGTCGCCCTCCTCCTCCTCCTCCTCCTCCTCCTTCTCCGCATTCTCATTGCGCTCCTCCTCCTCCCCCTCCTCGTCCTCCTTCTCCTCCTCCTCCTTGTCCTCCCCTCGTTCCTCCTCGTCGCCGCCCTCTTCGCCCGCTCCACGCCATCCTCTTCCAGTTCCCTGCCAGCGCGTCGCGTGCCTCAACTCTGTGCGCAACTCCGGGGAACGATGTCTTTCCCGCCGCTGCGCTCTCTGCGTCGCATGCGAGCCGACTCTCCATGTCGAGCTCGACAGCTCCGTGAAGAGCCTGTATCAAATCCCCACGCCGAGACCGCGCCGACTCCGCGCCGAATCCGCATCGAGCCCGCGCCGGGCACCATACAAAACAACCACCCTGACCTTCCAGAGAGCTATTTTTCAGCACTGGAGGCCAGAAAACAAAAAAAAACTGAGCGACACAGCCTCAAACCAAGACGAAGAATAGCTCTGGGATCGGTTTTCAGGTCGGGCGCTATTTTGTTAGCCCCTCCTGGGAGATCAGGGGAGCTCGAGGACGGACAGAACTCCCCCGAAGAGGCAGCGCGAGGCGCTCCCCGCTCTCCTCCTCCTCCTCCTCCTCCTCCTCCTCCTCCTCCTCCTCCTCCTCCGCATTCTCATTCCGCTCCTCCTCCTCCTCCTCCTCGTCCTCCTCCTCCTCCTCCTTGTCCTCCCCTCGTTCCTCCTCGTCGCCGCGCGAGGCGCTCTCCCCGCCCGCCCCGAGGCCGCCCCGCCACGGCTGCGCCGCCCGGAAGGACGAGCAGTCGCCGAGCCCGGCGCGCGAGGACGCCAGCAGCAGGCCTCCCCGGGGCCCGTCTCGGGCGCACCAACCCCGAGGCGTGCGGGAGGAGGAGGAGGAGGAGGAGGAGGAGGAGGAGGAGGAGGCTGGAGGGGGAGGAGGAGGAGGAGGAGGAGGAGGAGGAGGAGGAGGAGGAGGAGGAGGAGGAGGGGCTGGAGGAGGAGGAGGCTGGAGGAGGAGGAGGGCTCCGTCGTTGCGGAGCCCGCCCCTCGCCATCGCTCGGGCGTCGAATTCCCTGTGTTTTTTTTGTTCGCTCTCGTGCGTGGGTTTTTTTCGCCATATGATCGAGGAGGCTCCTCGATGGTCCTCGCCGAGGGAAGAAAATGCACACGTCCGAGCGATGCCAAGGCCCTCCCCGACGGGGGCCGCCCGGGGCGAGCGGCGGCGAAAGGGCCCCCTGGCCCTCGGGGAGGGGGCTTGCGCTGAGAGGCCCAAGACGTCAGGGGTATACCGCACGTCGACGAAATGTTGCACCACTTTTGCCGCGCATTGTCAGCTATATTGCATTGCTCCTCCCCCCCCTCCCCCTGATCTTAATATTGGGCACATGGCAAAGGTCCCTTGGCGCCCCCCCAGGGCTCGCGACAGAATGTTGCACCACCGAGCCGTTTCGATGAACCCGGGACCGCAGCCAATGTTAAGATTGGGGGGAGGGGGGGGTGGAAGCGAACATCCATTGCAAAATCGGCTTGTTTTCTTGACAACACCAGGTGGTGCAACATTTTGTCGATGTACCGTAGGGGGTCTCTGCAGCAGGTGCGCCAAACCGAGGCGCCCATGTTGATGATCCCCAGTGCAAAGGCTGGGGCCTGAGGCAGGCCAAATCTCCACTGGTTTGTTCGGGTCAGGGCTTCCTGTGTTCTCGGTGACCGAGGGAGCCGTGGCCCTGAGATCCTGGCGTCTCCACTTGTTCAGGGACGGCATTTTCACCAAGGCGCCAGCCACTGGACCCTAACGGATCGTTCTGGCTGGAGACATGGCGCAGAAGGATGGGGTCCAGGGCTCTGGCCGTGATGTTTCGAGATGTTATATTTTTGTTCGCTACTTCGGCCCTCCAGGGATTAGAAGAAAACTCCTGGGTGGCCGTCGTGAGAGCGACTGAGCGCTATTAAGCCAGAGCAAGGAACCATTGAACTTGACTGCGCCAGATCCAAGATTGAGCCGGACCAAGCTGGATTAAGCGGCACTCTGCTGGATTGGGCTGGTTTGCGACCACGATATAACAACGTCCAAGCTAAACTAAACCTCTCGCGAGTTGCATCCTTACGGGGACGAGCCCTGACCTCATCTTGCTGTGTGCCCCAGGACAGCGGCCACATCAGCTCGGGAGGAAAAACCTGTCCCGGGGAAGGGGCATAACAGGGTCTCGCGTGGTTGAGCATTCTCTCTCCCTTCCCGCTCTCCTTCTCTCTTCCTCATGTTTGTTGTTCTCTCTCTCTCTCTCTCTCTCTATATATATATATATATATATATCCGCCGACCCCTTGTGGGTCTCTAGGCGTGTGAGATAGTTCCGCCCCCCTAACCCCCCCCTGGGGCCCCAAACCGGAGATTCGACCCCCCCCCCCGGGCCCGCGACGAGCGCGTCACGGGGCTCTTTTGGGCCCAAAAGGGGATCAAGACGGGCCAAGAAGGCCCCGCGACTCCTCCAAGACGGTTCACGAGAGCTCCGAGGCGCCAAACGAGCGCTCCCAGACGCCCAAGATGGCCCCAAGACGAGCCTAGAGGCCTCCAAGACTGCCCAAGAGGCCTCCAAGAGCAGTCCTCAGAAAGGCCGGAGCGCCGAGAATCGTCAAATTCCTATGGGAAAACGTACATTTAGATCATATACTACTTGTCGGCCCTCACGGCGTTGAAGACGGTCCCAGAGCACCCCGAGACCGCCCCAAGAGGCCCCCCAAAGGCGCCCAAGTCGGCCCAAGAGGGCGCCAAGACGGCCCAAAAGGCCCCCAAGACAGCCCAAGAAGGCCCCAAGACGGTCCCAAGAGGGCCCCAAGAGGTGCCCAAGAGGGGGAGCCCGAACCGACACTCCGAGCCTTCCGCCCCAAGACGGCCCCAGAAGGCCCCCAGAGGCCCCAAGAGGCCCCCAAGGCGCCCACAAGAGGCCCCAGGACGCCCCCAAGAGGCTCCAAAACGGCTTCAAAACGGCCCCCAAGAGGCTTCGAAACTGCCTCCAAGAGTCCCGCGAGAAGCCCCCAAAGAGATCCCGACGATCACCGCGCAAGTCTCATATCAACAACCCAGGCACGGTGGCGGGGTTGCGTTTGCGCACAAAAAAGAATTCGCTCTCTCGAAGCCAAGATTGCTCCAAGACGGCCCAGGATGGCTCCAAAACGGCCCAAGATGGCTCCAAAACGGCCGAAAACAGATCGAAGACGGTCCAAGATGGCCTCAAGATGGCCTACAAGGCTTTCACTATCGCCGCGACGACGACGCCGACGAGAACGACGAGGACGACGAGGACGACGACGATCACGACGAGGACAACGTCGACGACGACTGCGACAACGGGTCCTACAGGGACTCTTCAAGACGACCGCCTTTCCGAGGATGTCTCAGGCGAGAGCCTCCATCTTGGAGATCTGAATATGAGGCCAGCGATTTCAACATCCACATTCCGCGAGGATGCCTCCAACGAGCATTACAAGTACCCCATGCTTTATTGAACGTTTCGAGCGCGTCTGCGGAGTCCCGACGCCTGCGCCTCCTGGGCCTCCAGCCGCGTCAGAGCCGTCTCCTCATCCGCCCCAAGGGCCGCCATGAGGCCTAAGAACTGATAGTGGTATTGAGGACCCGGCTGATGATGCTGTTTTGGGCATGATTCTGATTATGATGATGTGATGATGTGGGTCATGAGTATGATGACGATGGTGGCGACAACGACGACAATGATTATGACGAGGATGATACCGATGATGATGATGATGCTTAGCATGATGATGATGGTGGTGATGATAATCATGGTGATGAAGATGATGGTGGTGACGGTAATGATGATGACGATGATGATGGTGGTGATGATGATGATGACGAAACGCCCAGTGAGGACGCGGGGGAACACCAACCGAACCACCGCTTCGGCCGCACGCAGCGTCCTAGCTCAGCCCCCGGTCACGCGATGGCCTCGGGCTCGTAACGTGCCTGGACCTAGCAATGCGAAACAAACCGCGAACACCTTCTCGGTTCCCAAGCGTGTGAGACTCGTCCCCTCCACAGCCCCGAGGTCCCCCGTGCGGGCTGAGGGATGCCCCCAAAAACAACCCCGCCGCACCAAAGAAGTCAAACCCAGCAAGAAATATACGGGCCCAATCCAACGCTTCCACCCTTTAGGCATCTCCAGAACGATGCCAAGATTGCATTAGCGTCCTTTCTTTTCCGATGGGCCCCCCGGGGCTTCGAGATGACCCCAAGCGGATTCCACATGGCCCCAAGAGAAGTCATTATGGACCCCTACACGACTCCCCACCCCGATCCAAGCGAGCCGGCAAGACCGCCAAGATGAGGGGTCGGCGGATGTGGCGTAAGCCTATAGAATATGTTCCTCCAGTATGTCTCCCTCTCTCTATCGCTCGTTCTCTCTCTCTCTCTCTCTCTCCCTCTCCATCGCTGCTGCCTTTCTCTCTCTCTCTCTCACTCTCTCTCTCTCTCCTCTCCATCTCTTTGTGGTTCTCTCTATCTCTCCCTCCCTCGCTTGTTTTTTATATTATTATTATTATTATGACTCTTTCTCTCTCTCTCTACCTCTCTCTCTCTCTCTTCTCCTTCCGTCCCATCCTCACCCCTGTGCCCCCCCATTCCTCTCCCTCTTGTCCAGCAGATGTTGACAAGGCAACGCGCTCACCAGACCTACACTCTGCTTCTCCGACCCCCCCATGGGATGGACCCCGCTTCCCACCCGTGGACTCCCTGCTCGTCTCCCCCCCTCGGCCGGCCCGCCCGCTGCTCCTGCCGCCGTCCTGTCCTGTCACGGCCCCTCGCTTCCCCCCCCCCTCGTGACGTCCCCTCCTGTCGCCCCCTCTTCTTCCTCCTCCTCCTCCTCCTCCTCCTCCTCCTCCTCCTCCTCCTCCTCCTCCTCCTCCTCCTCCTCTTCCTCCCCGACGTCAGCCGCTCTGATGCCCGCTCTCCTCCTCCCCGTCGTCCTCTGCAGCGTCGCCTCGATCGTTCGAGCCGCTCTTCTGCCCCGCGTCGCCCCTCCGTCGCTGCGTTCGCGCCAGCCGAAGTCTCACAAACGCCGAGGGTTACCCATCCCCGTCTCTTCCCGCTGAGGCATGCCCTCGTCGCTCTACTCCTGGTGCCACCCCTCCTCCATCACTCCCCCTTCGGTGCGCCCGATGAAGGACGAGGCCGCAGCGTCGCCATCAGGGATGGGGCGGACAACGAGAAGGTGGCGGGGCGAGGAGGGGAAGGAGGAGCCAGGATAGCCATGAGGGAGAAGAGGGGAGGACAAGGAGGAGGGGGGGGGCAGGACCAGGAGCCAAGTGGAGGATAACAAGGAGGGGCGGGAGACGGAGCAGGACGCAGAAGGCGGGGGCAGAGCAGGAGGAACGTTAGGGGGTGATGAGGGGGGCGACAAAGGTGGAAGAGGTGGAGGAACGAACTGGAAAGAGGGCGCAAAACAAAAATGGGGGAATCCAGGACTACGACGCGGTTGTGATGACCGGTGGCACTCGGGGGCGCGGCGCCATACCCACGCCGTCTGGATGTCGAGGCGCGGGGGTTCGCGCCCCCACGTTCTATCAATGCGCGCCCCGTTTACCGATGCCAGGGCGCCGCGGCCCAGTGGTGATAAGGGCGTCATAGAAAGAGAAGGCGAGCGCGTAGCATGCTGAAGAGAAAGGGGGCGAGAGAATGAGAGAGAGGAGCGCACCGAATGAGTCTGGAGCGCCGAAGGGGAGGGAGGAGGAGGAGGAGGAGGACGAGAAACTGTAAGACTATAATTGCGGAGCGTGGATGGCGGTCGGAAGAAGGCATGAGCGATGCCGAACCTTCTACCATCTCAGTTGCGTCCGCGCCGGCGCCTCCAGCCAACGGGCAATCGGGCATCTGGTTCGAAGCCGACCTGCGCGGGCGATCGAACAACCCCGGCGGAGCGAGGGCACCGAGGAAGAGGGCAGCCCGAACAGCCCGCGCGCCGCGCACCTTCCCACTCCACGCAGGACGCCAAGCTGCCACCTGGGGCGCGCGCGCGGGCGCGGCGGAGTGCGCTCTCACCGGCTGCACTACTCAGCGGGTGCGCCCGCGCTTGTAAAGGAAGGTACACGCCAACCCGCCCGAGTAGGTGCGCTTCTGAGAACAAGCCGCGCGGGCCGCTCAAGCTCGAGTTCGCTCGGTGGCATTTGTCGATCGCCCGTCCGTTCCACACAATTAAAATTGCCAGCAAGGATGCACGATGAGGATGTACCGAGAAGGGCTTGCCCATGCCGAAGACGCGGGGGGCTGGGGCCTTGGACGCCCATGCCGAGGAGGTCTGCGGCCTTCACCGAGGAGGGCTGCGTGCGCCGTGTCTGCATGTAGGTGGGCGCCGTGCGTTGCGGTCGAAACGACGGAAAGACGAGCGAAGCTCGACGCGTGGATGGCGCGCGGCCCGTGAGGTTGACGGAAGGAAGATGTGAGGAGACCGTGGACTGGTAGACTGGAACGGGGAAACAATTGGAGTTGTCCCTTAATGGGGCGCGGCAGACGACGTCCCGCGCCTCGCCTCGCCGCTCAGCTCTGCCCATGTCTTCTCCACCAGCGTCGCCGAACATGGGCGTGAGGCGGCCATGCTTCGCGATCGCATGGCTCGAGAGGCTCGGGCCCGCGGCGGTGCTGTCGCCGGCGGGCTCCTCCGCGGCGGGCTCCTCCGCGTCCTCGGTGGGCGCGATGTCCTCCCCGTTGTCATTATCCTCGTTGGTGTCGGTGGCCTCGTCGTCGCTCTCCTCGCTGGCGTCGGCGGCCTTGTCCGACTTCGCCTTGGAAGCTGCCGCCCGCTTTGCGTCCCGCGCCTTCTTGCTGTCGAGGCCACCGCGGCGCGTTTTCTGGGGGGCCCGTGCGGGCTCGGCCGTAGAAGCCCCCGCCGTCTTCTTCAGCGTGTTCCCTCCTCCCCTCCCTCCTCCCTCCTCCCTCCTCCATCCTCCTTCTCCCTAATAACTACTCCCTCCTCCTCCTCCTCCGCTACTCATCCTCCTCCTCCTCCTCCTCCTCCTCCTCCTCCCATCCCCTCTCCTCCGCCTCCTCTCTCCTCCGGCCTCCTTCCTTCTCCTTCTCCCTCCTCCTCCTCCTCTTCCTCCCTCCTCCGTCCTCCTCTCCTCCGCCTCCTCCTCCTCCTCCTCCTCCTCCTCCTTGCGCTCCTCCTCCTCCTCCTCCTCCTCCTCCTCCTCCTCCTCCTCCTCCTCCTCCTCCTCCTCCTCCTCCTCCTCCTCTCCCCCTCCCGTCCCCCTCCCGAGGGGGCCAGTAGGCGCCACCTCCGGAACTCGGTGGCCCACCTCCTTAGGCACCTGAGCGCCCAAAGCCAGCCCGCGAGCATTCAGCTCGGAAGTGTATTCCGACCCGCAGATGCTGCGCGCCACTGATTTACCGCCGTATCCTTGTCGGTTCATCTCGCGGCCCTCGCATTTTCGCCTTTGCCATTGCTCTTGCCACTTCCTCGTTAGAACGCATCGTCGACCTGGTCGTCGGTCGGCTCGGCGACGGAGCTGTGCTTTTGAACAGCCTTGCCTGTCCCTTTGTCTTTCCAAGCGAACGAATGCCGTTAGATCGTCAGGGCGTCGATCTGACCTCAGAATAGGCCCCTGGACTGATCCGCCATGCAAGCGAAAACCTCCCGGGAGTCTGAGCTGGCGTCGGAAGTGGCAGCGCCGCATGCTCGAGGTAAGCGGGGAGGTAAGCGGGCGCGTCTTCAGCGCGCGGCCACGCGGCGGGGGAACGCGCCGCCTGCGGTAGCGCGGCACTTGGCTGGGCACTGCTGGCACGCGAGCGGCTGCCTGTGGCACCTGGGAGCTCGGCAGCGCTAGCAGTCCAGGGGTCAAGGCCATGTGAGTGCCCAGGGTATGCTGCGCTGGCGTCGTTACTGTTGTCGTTGGTCAAGCCTACGAAGCCTCCGAAAGACGGCGGTGCGCGGAGGGCGCTGGCGATGTTGTTGGGTGCGTGCGCCACTATTGTGGCCAACGCGCCTGAGAAGTGTGGAGGGACGGTTGATGTCAGGTTTTCGCAGTGCTGGAGCAGCGCTATGAGTTGACGCGAGGCAGCGCCAACCGGTCACCGCTCGGTAGCCTTCCCATGGCATCGCAGCTCCATCGCTGTGCGTTGCTCGGAATCGCAGTGCAAGGACTGGCGAAGGCAATATTTCGGTGGTCTCGTTGCGTCGCCTAGGGAACTCCAACTCCCTGGTAACTTACACGCGTGACTCTTCACACAGTGGTCCGTTATGGGGCGCGAGGTTCGTGATGAGGTCCGCGACGGCGTTTTCCTGATGTCCGTGACCATTCCTCCTTCTGTCATATCCGTGAGGTTCATAGAACGGGTAAACTCGCAGGCGGCGCCGCCGCCGATAAGGATGATGGCAACACACTGCTGGGCGCTGCCCATGTCGATGGCAGGTGCGATCCGCGCTAGTAGGTCCTGCGCCCACTGGTGGGACGGGTCGGCTGATTCCCGTTCGGGTGACCAGGATGGTGGCTATTGGGATGTAATGCCGCCGTTGCGACCGTTTCCGCCTTGACAAGTTCCAGGCATCATGCAGAAGAGACAAAACAAGGCGATCACGGAGGGGATGAGGATACTGCTGAGCAGTGCCAACTTGGATATCCCCTTGAAGAAACCATTGTTCGGTGTACGGATTTCTGTCAGGCGGTCCTTGCCAGGGACGAAAGCAACCTTGCCGCATCAGACAGCCGCAATCGTACTGGGGCACTAGGGTGCGAGAAAGTGGTGAACCGACAAATATCGTGAACCAGAGACCAGCACCACTGCGCCCAAACCGAACCCAAGCACTGGCCAAGTTGTGCGGCACAGCGATAACACCCCACTGCTTCTGCTTGGAGGTCGCTGATGGTGGCTGGCTTGGGCATTGCGGCACTATGGCCCAGTTGGGTACGCCCACACTTACACCAAGCCGTGTCCCCCAGAAAACGGCACTTGTGGTCGTGGGCGTTGTGGTCGTGGGCACCACTCACAGGGCCACGTGTGGTCGTAGGCGCTGGTCTCCTCGCGTCTGAGGGCGCGTTGGGCGAATTACAATGAAGTGTGCAGAACATCCATAGGCACAAGCTGCTCACGGACTGGAGGGTGGTATCAATGCGGAGGGTGAGGGAAAGGCGAATGTACGTCCACATCAGGTCGCACGTTGCGCGTCTTCCGTGAATCACGCCTGGGATCGCTTCCAACTCCGCTGCAAACTAGAATTGCGGGGGCTGGATGGCGGCAATGAGAAAGCATGAGAGAAGCGGAACCGTCTACCATATCAACTGTGTTCGCGCAAGCGCTCCCAGCCACGTGGCAACTGGGCATCCTATTCGATTGAGGGTGAGGAGGAAGAGGAGGGGGTATAGGAGCAAGAGCGGGCGAGAGGGCGGGTGGATGAGGGATGGGGGGTTACAATAGAGAAGGGAGGAGGGAGGTGGGCGAAGGAGGAGAGACGGCGGCGGTCCGAAAAGGCAGGGATGAGGGAGGATAAGTCCCAAGACGTACAACGACAGAGGAGCATCATCTGGAAGGTTGCATGGCGAATCAGAGTATCTCAATCGGAGTACATGGCTGGCCGCGCGCCTCAAGCAATCCATCCCCTGCCATCCTAGGAAAGATATGGTAATTCGCATGGGTGTAGGCGAACGTCGGGACAACGCTAACCTCTGCAGGGGCCACCACAGCTGTGCAACTGCATAACACATAGGATATGCTGTTGGATTCCAAGTCGGCAACACACACAGTCGCTGCTAAACAGCTCAATATGAAGGTTGAGGGCAAACAGCCTGGCGCCACAATGTGCCAAACCCATTCTGCGAGGCTGAACGAAACTCTTCTGGAATACGCAAGCGTGGAGAGACCGACGCCAACAAGTACACTTACATTCACCACGATCCATAAGTGGGACGGACCAGGCATGTGAGAGAACATCGAGGCGACCATGCGGGGGGAGGTCGCCCTCAACGAGAACAGGAAATGGCAGCCGTAGCAATATCAAACGCGCAACCAACCAATGTGCAAGCCATACGCGCGGGCTGTTATCGGGGGCGCGCAAGCATGGATTAGCGATCCATGGATTTGGCGCGCGGTCGCCAAATCCATGGATCGGGGGAGGCGCCCTCCCCAAAATGCGGCCGGTGCTGCCGCGCTCGGCGGCGAACATCAGCGATGTCCCATGGAAACGGGGCCCGTCGCTAAACCATGTCCCCTTAATCCATGTTTGCGATCGCCTGATGTTAGTACAACCCCGAGGGGCTGAGCTGGTCGCGGCAGCACGCGTCGGATGGCTGCAGAGGCCAGAACGAACATGATCTTAAACGATCGACGATTGAGCCTCCAAACTCCCCCGATCACAGGGTGAATAATAAGAAACGAAGGCGCCCCCCCATTCTCCTCTGCATTCTCCACACTGCCACATTCTGAATACTTGCAACTCTCCTCTCTCTCCTGATTGCGTCCAGAAGATGGCTGGCTTTCTCCGCGTACTGTTTTCTTACACACAGAACTGCCACAACTGGTGTTTCATATGGCTGATTTTACCATCCGATTGATTTCGGAGTTTTAAAATGGTGCTCCCGCTGCAACGTGATCCTCATTTTCGGATCGGCGCTTTGCTCCCGTCGTTAAGAACTGCGCTCTCGCCCTCGCGCGGGCCGCTTTCCTGCATCCGAAATCTTCTCTGATCGTTGTCGCCCCCCCTCATTTCCCCTCCCCCGCCTTCCCGTGGTCCTCCTGCTCCTCCCGCTCCCTCCGCTCCAGTTCCTGCTGCTGCTGTTCGTCCTCGCCCTCCTAATTACACAGCCTCCTCCTGTTTCTCCTCATGTTCCTGCTTCTTTTGCTCCGCCTGCTCACTTCTCCTGTGCACGCGGCTGCTATGTCCGGATTGCGCAGAATACGATGGGGCCTTTCTGATGGATCTCCAGGTAGGCTATGACATGCGTCCACGGAGAAAGATAGAGAGAGAGAGAGAGAAACACATAAAAATCAGCGCAATGGGAAGAGATGGGAAGGAGGGGTAGGATGTCAGATGTGGTGTGAGCGACCCTAGCGCGTCCACTCTCTCCCCCTTTCCGCTACACCTCCGCAGCCTCCCTCCTCAAGCTGCAAGCAAGAAGGCGCTGTCAGGGGCACCTGTAGCAAAGCAACTAGTGCGACTGCAAGAGGAGGCAGTCTTGTGGCGGCCTGCACTCCCTTCAGAGGGGACATGCAGAGGGAGGACCACGGAAGTTGCATCGGCAAGGGGCGGCAGTGGAGGATGGAGAGGGGGAGGATCGGAGCAGGGAGGGAGAGGGGCAGAATGGAGAGGGGGACTGGGGCAGGAGGCAAGGGGTAGACCGAGGCACGCATGCCTGCGAGCATAGAGACATACCACATGTGGCGGGAATGGAGGCGAGCATTGCTGGGGAGGGGGACCGAGAGAGGATCGGGAGGACGGCGAGGGGCGACGCGTCAAGTTCCCCTGATGCCCTAGACCTCCAACGTCTCCTCCTCCTCCTCCTCCTCTTCCTCCTCCTCCTCCTCCTCCTCCAGTAATGAGGCTACCCTGGGTCAAACGGGAGGCATCGTGAGGCTCGGAGCGCCGATCCTGCAGAGCGCCATGATGCCCATGCCGGCAAGCCCTGCGCCGTCGTCGTTCCACGCGTGCGAAGCGCCGTGCCCGTCTGCTCCTCCTCCTCCTCCTCCTCCGCCCGTCTGATCCTCAGATGCTACACGCCAGATGCTCCCTGGAGATCGCAGCAAATGGTCTGGAACCATCTGGCGTCCCAGGCGGCACACTGTCCACCGCTGGACCAGAGAGGCACCGCCCACTCGCTGAAAACAAGTGGCACCCTACACCTTTCGAAAGCAGCTATGAGGTAACCTGTCCCGAAGTCTGAGCAGGCGGAGGCAAGTCCAAACCTCAAGCTTCCAATAAGCAGATACCAAACCTGAAAACAAACACCCGATCACTCCGAAATTCTACGACCCAAGCCATCAGAAGCCCAAGACAGCACCCACTGCTCTTGGCCTGGACAGGGTGGCGCAAGGGAGCCCAGCCGCCTCGAGCAGCCCCACACGTTCTGAACTTTCACCAGCCCTGCTGACCGCTCCTCCTCCCATCCTTCTCCTCCTGGGCCACTTGAAATATCTTCCGCGGAGCCGCGGACAGCCCATTCGCGTCTCATCGTGCTCGCGCACCATCTGGCGCAAAGGATCTCTTTCCTCGCACATCGTCGCTTGTAACCCTACCACATCGCGATTCAAGAAGTCGCGAAGCAAACCGGGAACACCGCACAAGCCGACCTGCAACAGACGAGCTCGTGCCATGAGCCACGGCCTGGGCAACAGATCGACAATGCAGCTGCTCTGCATGACCGTCTGGTGCAGGGGATGCCTCACCCGACCTCCTCCCCGCTGACCCCTCTTGGCAGCGCACCCAAGGGGGTATGGGGGAGGGGGGAAGCTTCTCGGAAGAAGGCTGCTTCTTAGAAAGCGCCAGCCCTCCATCTGTGCGATTTCGGAAACCATGAACCCACACGTTTCCATCTCTTGGGGGCGCATCTTTTACTTCCGCTGCCCTCCGCCGAACTTCCGCCGACCTTCCGCCGCGGCAGCGATGGCAACTCCTTCGACCCTCGAAGGCAATGCCCTGTTTGGACCTCCCCGTCGATAGATCAGGCCCGCGCCGTCCAAGAAACAAGGGCTGCTTCTAAGGTGTTCTTTTTGAATAAACAAGAGCATCTTAGAAGCAGCCATTGTTTCATAGACGGCTCGGGTGCTCTGTGCCGGGCATGGCCCACCTCCGAGGAGGTTGCCCAGAAAGCCTGCGTGAGACCGTGTGCCGTCGGCCCATACGGGCCCCCTGGAGGCCCGAGAGAAGCTGCGGAGACAGAGGCCTCCCTGATGGGGTCCGACATCGGCTATTCATCACCGATGCATCGGCGATGCCTCGGTGACGTCAGCGATGCATCGGCGCCGTCCACGTGGAGAAAATCGGGCTCAACGTCGCGCCGCATCGCCGATGCATCAGCGATGCGCCGCGATCCTCCGACCCCATCTACTCGGACCCCATCTAGGAGGCCCAGAGGCTAGGGTGTTTCTTGAAAGCCTTCCCCCTCTCGCCTCACCCCCCATTGCGCGCGGCTGACTTCTCCTCCTCCTTCATGCTGCCCTGGCCGGTCTGCGGAGCCGTCTCGGGCCGTGGTTCAGCGGAGGCCCCCAAATGAGGAGACACAAGAACGGCACAACACGGATGGACACGTCTGCCACGTCCCCCTCGCCGAGCCCCTCGCCCTCTTGCCCGACCCCCCTCCTCCGCGACCAACTCCTCGCCATGGGGGAAGCGGGTCCTGAGGGAAGCGGGTCCTGGGGTCTTTCTCAATCTTCGGGCCCTCGGGGCCCTCCGAAGGCCCCGGGACTGTCAGAAAACGACTCCGTATGAAGAGCTCGTCCTGGGGGAAGGCTCCAACCTCCAGGACCCTTCTCCCTCAGGACCCGCTTCCCCCATGGTAGAACTCTGCCCCCTCCTCCTCACCTTCTGGGCTGGGCTGGGCCTCCCGGAACGGAACGCAACGAGAAGGGGTCTCAGAATCCCCTGGGGTCCTGAGACCCGTCGAACCTTGATTCTGGGAACCGTTGGCGCCTGAAGGGGCTGCGATCAGGAACTCTTGGACAGCGTGTCGCAGCGGCGGCCCCAGCGGCACGCTACCTGGGCCTTGCGTTCGACTAGCGTGTCGCTCCGCTCCGCGAGGCGGGAGGCTCAGAGCAGCTCCGAGCGGTGACGCCTCGGGACCAAGTGATAGCGTGTCGCGCCGAAGCGTGCTGGGCCAGAGCCAGCGGCGCGACACGCTGCCCAAGAGTCGCCGACCGTGCCAGAGCCCTCGGGGCCCCTAGGGGACCCTGTCCGCCCCTGTGGGGCACTCCGGGAGGGGGGTCCGGCAGACCTCCCCCCACCCCACCCCCCCGGGCGCCGCAAGAAGGCGTGGCGGCGCGCAGCTCCATTAATGACCCTGGTCGGCGCAGGACATTGGCATCGCAAGCGGTGCCCTGCAGAGCCAAAGTGGGGCACGCCGCGCGGTCGGTGGGAGGAGGGCGAGCGGGAGCGAGGGGCACGCGGAGGGAAGCAGGGGGAGGAAGGATGGATGGAGAAACGGAGGGGGGATGCGAGGGAGGCTCCCAGGGAGGAGGAGGAGGACGAGGAGGAGGAGGAGGAGGAGGAGGAGGA